ACGACGCCCTCCGCTCACTCGTAGCCCATGGACGTGCCTCAAAATCACCCGCTTTGTTGGAATAACCCAGTTTCTTCGAAATTATTGGAAAATAAGGCTGGAGAGGATGCACGCAGCCCTTCCCTCTTCCTCCCAAGAGTGGGAGAGTTTGGGGACGTCCTGGGAGCGGTGCTGCTCTGGGGGGATCCAGGCTCTTTTGGGGGGACGCAGAGATGCTGGGGGGATGACGGAGGGGTGTCGGGGTTTCCGGACGATCCCAATAAAGTCCAGGGGGAATTTTCCAGGGTTCAATCCTTTTGTTTCCTAAGGAAATGGTGCTGTCGTAAGCACAAGGTGGCGCGGCCGCGTGCCCACCCCTGCACCCTCCGTCAGCGCTGGTGCTCGGCCAGTTTTATTTAAATTGGGCAAAAAAGAATCAGGTATTTTTGCTCGTTATAGCAGAGAAAGGGGGAAAAAAAGTCCCTGTGAGGCTGCAACAAGCGTGCAACCCAAAATAATCCACATGGGAGAGAAGTGTTACGAATGACTCAACAGCAGAGTTTCAATTAGTGATCACGCTTTATTACACACCAGAGAATCCAACGAGAAGCGACAGCAAGGCTCAGACTACCTTTTTCTATATAATCCTCAATTTTTATGTACACCGTGAGTGGATTCCCTGCTCCAGGGAGCTGACCGCAGCCTTTAAAAAGATCTGAACGTGCTTAAAAAAATAAAAATTTCATTAAAAATAGGGTTGTGGATGGCTTCGTTAACTGCATCAGAGGAAGTATTTTATACATGAAAAATGAAACCACCTTTAGAAATATAAATTTTCTTTCAAAAAAAAAAAAATGTGCTTTAAAAATAAAGGGGAAATACCTCTTTGTGAAGTGGAGCCTCAGGCTTCCAACCCTAATTTTAAAAAAAGGGTGAAATATCTTTTAAAAAATGATTTTAAAAGTAACATTTTGTTGAGTCTTTTTTAAAAAATCCTTATATTGACTTATTTTAAAATGAGCAAAACATCTGCCTGAAGGAAACAGTAATTTAAACCAAGGTCTTGGGGTTTTTCAATGCTCACAGTCATGATCGTGGGAGTTGTTTACCAAAGACACAGAAAGTTTGGGGGGGAAAGGTGTTTGGGGCAAGGAGGGATGGATCTGGAGGTGTTCTTGCCATCTTCATGAGTCTTGGGGGAAACCCCCCAATAAACCCCGTCCCCGAGGGATGGCCACCCCAGCACGACGTTGGCGTCCCACAGCATCCTCTGCGCAGGCAGCCACACCAACAAACCATCCCATCAGCTGGGAAGCACGAGGGGCTTCTGTGGGACCTGGTGCCCGTTCTGGAGGTCCCATTCTCCACGTGCAACTGGATGGAGTGTGCATCAGGGGATGCACGGGCACGGCAACAGGGATGGCTGCAGAGGGGAGCTCCTCCCTGGAGCTAGAGGAGGTGTCCACCATCAGCTTCACTCCTCTGCTTGATGTTCAGCTGTTAAAATCAGGCAGATGGGAGCTCGGTGAGGTCCCTCCATCCTAACCAAGAAGCGGTGGGAGCACCTGGGCAGCGACGCACCCACCCAGACCTGGGCTTCAGCATCACCATGGTAGGACCTCCACCCATGGGACCCCACCACCACCTCCAGCCTCCACACTCAGCAGACACCACTGAAAGGGGTGTTTAGGGGGACCTGGGGATGAGGAGGTGCCACCCTGTGGGGAGGGGGAACGCTTCCAAACAAGCACATAACTCTGCTAGAAAAAAAATGTACTCGCAGGAACGCCCACACTTCGCCGCCACGTTGTTTGGCCCCGTCTTCGGGGTTGAAACCACAAGCGACTGGTTGGCAAACGGGGCCGGCGCTTCCCGTGAGCCGTGCGGGGTGATGCACCGGGAGAGCGAAGGCAGAGGGGCCATTCAGGGTTTTGGCTCCAGTTTGGGGTGACCTACCACGTGAGGTGCAGAGGATGAATGCCTTCTTGGCCACCCACCCCAGCCCAGGCTGGGTGCTGCTCATGGTCTTGCTGGGTGCTCCTAGCCAGACCTGCCAGGCTGGAGGCTGGGAAGGGCCAGCCCTTGAATTCATGAGCTTTATTCATCACAGCTTTTTTTCCTTTGGTATCTTGCCCTGGTAGACCCAGAGAAAACCTGAAAATGTTAAATACTGAAGAAGTTAGGAAGTGAGGAAAGAAGCCGTTTGCTTGGGGCATGTCCCTCTGTAGCAGCTTCCACAGCTGAGCTCACCCAGCTGCAACCTCAGCTTTCTCCTGGAGGAAACTGGGGCACAAACCCCCCTTCGATGTTGAGCTTTGGGCTTCCTCGGAGGTGAGGAGCGGCCGTGGGCCACGTCACAGGACGGCTCCTGTGTGGCATGAGTCCAGCTGGGACCCACTGGGAGAAATGGGAGTGAGGTTGGGACTGAGCAGGGAAGGGAAACTGAGGCCGACGGAGGGAGAGGTGGTGGTACCGGAGGAGCCCTGGCACAGGGGCCGCAGGGTGGCCGGCTCAGCCGAGGGGATGGAGCAGAGGGAAGGGGCCGCAGTGGTTGGCACTGGGGGAAGGGCTGGCAGCACCAGCCTCGGCTCAGGAACCCAGAAACGCTCAAGTGCCCCAAGGCTGGAAGAGCAGCAGGTCCTTCCCACCACCCCCCAGCCCACCTTGGGGGGGACCCACAGGATGGAGGGACAGCATCTACAAATGCCAGGCTCTGGAGAAGACAGAGAGACAGGTTTTGGGGTGCTTTTTAACCCCTTTGTGCCCAAGCCATCCCACTGCAATGTCCCTCTCTCCTGTCCAGCAAGAGGCTGCTGCGGAGGGTGC